TTTTTTTTTTTTTTTTTTTTGCCTTGGGCGATTGACCCTTGTACATATTTCTTTAGAGGCACTTACCCTCCTAACCACAATTTTCTTCGACTGCCCATCTTTCAAAACTGTACTGTGATTAGTATCTTCTTGTCCTTTGATGTGTTCCTTTACACCCAGTGACCAAAGCCTTTCTTAATGTGTTTTTTGGTCCTCATTGCAAGTTACAGAAAAAAAAAATCAGACATGTGTCCGTTAGCGACTCCTAAGAAAATATTTAATAAATTATTGTCTGTAAATATATTCATAATTTTAAAGGGATATATAAGATTCGACGACGGCGACAGCGACGGCAACGAGAACGTCAAAAAAGCGATAGGTATAATGGGAAAAACAGCAACTCTGCAAGTGCTTCACGCTTTTTTTGTACATTTCTTTGCCGTCACTGCTGTGGACGACTACGACGTAAATATGCCTACTTGGAGGACGTAAACAAGCGACGACGAAATTATTTTCCTTTCCCATATGAACTTAGATATTAATCCTAGGAATTCAGCTCCAGGAGAGGTCGCCTGCATTTGACAAAGTTAGTGAGTTTGAATAATCGCGATGAAGATTGAAAGAACGCGATATCACTTTTAAGCCGAGCGAAGTTTTCGCCGCCGTCGCCGTCCTCGGATCCGTTTTGCGAATAGCTTGGGATATAAGCAATATAAAAGGTATTTTAGGCCGCTTTCGCACCGCACCGGACGAGTTTTCGACCGGTTCAGTTAAAAATTCGTGCGTTTGAACAGGTGTTCCGTTCACATCCAACTACCTGGTTTACGGTGTTTTCGATACAAGTTTATTCAGTTTAGGTGTAAATAGTTCCACATACTTGGCTTAAAGAACGAAGAATATTCACCCAAAATGTTTTTCATGTTCACCCGCAAACTATATACTTGAAGTGATCGAGGTTTTTGTGCAATATCACTGCTTGAGTTCGCATCCAAACGACTTTGTATCGAAACGACTTAATTATTTGAAATTCAGTCTTACATCAGTAAAAACCCGATTGGTTGTAATGAATATTATCATATTTTCCTTCTTGGTTATGGCGTAGCCTGAAAATCAGCTTTAACTCTAAAATTCACGTAAGTCTAGTTAGTGTCCAGTCAAAACAAAATAGTCAGAGAGATAAAAAAAAATTACAAAGAATGTATTGATGTATGTAAATCGCTGACTCACACCATCGTTACTTCAAAAAGTCAGTGCAACTGTTCAACTTTTGTACATTACATAAGTTGTTTAATTAAGTCTTCTTGCAGGAATAGTTAACAATACTAATTTGTCCCGTCTTTTCAATACATTAAATCGAAGTTGTTTACGATTTTGCAAGAAAAACTAATTAGCGTCAAAATATAATTACGCGGATAGTCCAACAAAAGGTGGTTACTTGGCAACCAGTCTCAAACAATTGTTAATCGATTACACTAAATGAAGTATAACTAATGATTTGATCAGGAGATTCGGATGGACAGGGTTTCTGTCACTAAAACATAAGATCTTGAAAACGTAGAAGATTAATAAAATCAGTATTCTCCTGGCGAAACTTTGTTTTCCTGTGAAGATTTTGTTTGGTGAAGTAAAGTCAATTAAAGTCAACTGAACGTATCCTTTGATTGACCGGCGCGACCAATTAATTGCTAGTTTGCACGTGACGTCACGGCGGCCATGTTGGTGGTCAAGAACAAAAGCTTTCCTCTCCTCTGGGAACTAAACTCTATTTTCATGTAAATTCTTCAAGAAAAAATCCTTTTGTTGTGACCCCCAACATGGCCGCCTTGTCACGTGGTTGCAAACCAAGAATATGAACAAAAGACAGAATTTAACAAAAAATAAATCTTACTATTAAAATCACGTCTCTTAACCAAATCAAACAGATATATTAAACCTTGCACACCTTTGTGTAAATAAGGATACTAAAAATAATTCAAAACTGTTGAAGTTTCCCCGTGCAAAACACTGAGCCACTTACCCAAGGGTAAAATGGCTTGTGTAACCAAGCTTCGCTCAGATTAGTCAACTGTCTGAATAGCTGTTACAATGGATGATAGTCTCTCCACGTATTTCCCAGACATAGGGGCTGCCCGAGAACCACTGCCTGGGTACCGGCAGAAAATGGAGTTGTTTTCACACCTTTAAAACCGTATTTAGTGTGACTGTGTAGTACATAGTTACTCCATCTCGCCTTGTCAGACGCCATTTGAAACATGAGCTAAAAGCGAGTACAAAGTATTGGACTGCCTCAGAAGTAATATCGCGGTGTACACACACGGACCCTGTGCTCACTTTTGTTCCGAGTACAAGGTCGAACACCGGCACAAGGTATATGAGATAACATATCAGGGAGTCTATATGGAGACTGCCATGAGTTACTTGCCGCACCGTGCCCGAATTCTAGCGTGGGTACTTAAAAAATGGGTGTGTTCACATTAGTACCCAAATGCAACGAGTACCGTACTCGGGGACTGTGCCAGGGCACCAGGTGTAAACGCTGCCTATATTCCCCCTACTCGTTCCCCACAACTGTGCCCTGGAACACGGGCCAGCGTAAAGATGAAAGAGAATAACTAAACAACAAATATATACTCGATACTTAAGAGCGGACGTCCTTAAATATCGCCTGGTGGTGTGAAAATTGAAAAAATCGAAAATCCCCAAACTTTGCAAGAATATAGGTCTAGGTAAACTATTTCTAGAAAAAATAACTTTTAGTTCGATTGGATTTTTAGTTTACGCGTTCGGCAACCGAGTCGGTCCGGTTCAGTTTTCGCGGGCTCAAGACCATATATTACTTAAAAATCGTTTAAAAATTAAAGAAGTGAAAAACTCTGCCTCTGAAAATCTTAATAGAAAGAGCACAACTTAACCAATAGTTTCGATGTGAAATTTTCCTATTCGACAGCAAATCTAATATTTCTCGGATTTTTTAATAATTTTACTTATTTTACCGATTTTTGACAGACATAAAATTGGCAAATTTCAGACATAAAAATCACTACTTGGTATACGGCTTTGAGCCGTAACTTACCTACCGATAGAAAAGAGCAAGGTGTCTTCCTCAAATAAATGCAATAAATTTTTTGGGCAATCCTGCAAGGAAAATGTTTGAACGCCAAACAAAAGCGACCCTTGAGGTCAAAACACGGCATTTTGTCAGGCACTGTGCTGCTGACATTCCCCTCCCCCTCCCGCTGGAGCATCACCCTACCCTACGACAAAAGTGCGTAACGCATTCTCCTTCCCTCTCCGAGCAGGTACGGTGGTGTGAGGAGACCGCAATTATAGCCGGTTATATATTTCCGAAACATCTTCATTTCCTAACAGATAAGTATTATATTTAGTCTTATACATCATTATGTAAGCCAACGTCGGTAAATTTGTTCTTTTATGTGCATGAATCCAGTTCACAGTAAGATTTGAAACATGTGATCCGCATTCTGTCAAACATTGACCGCAGGTTAAAATTAGGCTTTCGACTGCCAACGGGCGCATTGTAAGGAAAATAATTACGCAAAAGAAATGCAGATAAGTCGAGTCTAATCAATATTACTCAATAGCAAAGAGCTTTGCAGGAATCTGGCCAATAGAGCATTTTTCTTGATTTAACCGCCTTCGAATGTCCTGACAAAATGGCGTGTTTCGACCTCAAGGGTCGCTTTTGTTTGGCGTTCAAAAATTTTCTCTGCATGATTGCCCAAAAATTTTATTGCATTTATTTGAGGAAGACACCTTGCTCTTTTTATTGGTAGAAAAGTTATGGCTCAAAGCCGTATACGAAGAAGTGATTTTTGTGTCTGAAATTTGCCAATTTTAAGTCTATTAAAAATCGGTAAAATAAGTAAACCAAGTAAACTTATTAAAAATCCGAAGAGTTTGACTAATGGTCGCGGGTCGTGGGTCGCGGGTTGCGGGTCCAAAGTCGCGGTCGCGGGTCTAAAGTCGCGGTCGCGGGTCCAATGTCTTGGTCGCGGGTCTAAAGTCGCGGTCTCCAATGTCGCGGTCGCGGGTCTAAAGTCACAGTCTCCAATGTCACGGTCGCGGGTCTAAAGTCGCGGTCTCCAATGTCGCAGTCGCGGGTCCAATGTCGCGGTCACGGGTCCAATGTCGAAGCAGGGGAAAATGATTTGGAGTTCGAGATAACTGAGTGAAAACGAGTGATTTGAAAACAATATAAAGCGAAAAAATCTTTTTTTATGCACGATACTCTACGGTAGCCAATTTACAGGTTACGGATGTTAGAGTCAACAAAATAACGTCTCAAGAAAAGACCTTAAAGAAAAAGCAGACCGACTTCTGTGCTCACCGCAAGTTTATTTTGTTTTGTTTCTATCGGGCCCAGTTATGTGTAAATTCAGCTTTGAATATACTTATGCATAACAGTATCTGATAAAAAACGTTACCATTGTTTTGTTCTTGTCTACGTCACAAATGCTCAGGGGTGCATTCACTGAAAAATGTGCGATACACTTCATAGACTACAAACGTTACAACAACTTAAAGCCTTTTTTTTTTAAAA